GCGGGTGGTGCTTCTGTACTAGTTTTAGAAGTTTCTGCTGCTTCACCCGCCCCGCTACTTCCAGTCGCGGGTGGTGCTTCTGTACTAGTTTTAGAAGTTTCTGCTGCTTCACCCGCTCCGCTACTTCCAGTCGCGGGTGGTGCTTCTGTACTAGTTTGAGAAGTTTCTGCTGGTGCTTCACCCGCTCCGCTACTTCCACTTGCTGGTGGTGCTTCTGTACTACTTTGAGCAGTTTCTACCGGTGCTTCACTCGCTCCGCTACTTCCAGTCGCGGGTGTTGCAGCTTCTGTACTAGTTTGAGAAGTTTCTGCTGGTTCACCCGCTCCGCTACTTCCAGTTGCGGGTGGTGCTTCTGTACTAGTTTGAGAAGTTTCTGCTGCCCCAACATTTCTACTACTTCTTTCCGTGTGATCGTCTGCCATACCAAACCTTTTTCCCAGCCGTTCCAAGTCGATACAGGTGTGCACGTGTTTCGATCCCCAATGCAACTGGGAAAAGAACCGCCAGTCTGGCGGGTCGTAATAAAGGCCCCGGTTGTCCGCCCGGTCCTCGTCTCGCGTGACTTTCGGACAGGAAGCACTCTGCGTTCCGGCCGCGTCGAGAGCATTCTTGCAACAGGCGGAATTGTCTCTGCCAAACTTTCTCGCGCAGAAGTCCGTGCCACAGCCGTCGCGGCGGAACTTCGCCGGGTCCGCGTCCCCCTGGCAGCGGTCCCAACAACTCTCGCCGTCCGTGGCCTTGGCGAAATTTTTGTTCAGGATCTTCCACTCGTTGTAGCCCTGTCGCAGCGCGGCCGTCGTCGCGAAGGTCATGTTTTGCCCGCGAATGTTCAGGCTGGGATGGATGTTGTGGCGGTGGTAAAACGGAGCTTTTCGCTCCAAGAACTGGGCCTTTACGCTCGGCAAGTAGGCTAAAGGGACTGCATTTGTGTGGCTGTTACTGTTTTCTCCCTTGCTCGCGACCTGCGGAAACTTTTCCCGAAACGTTTTCAACTGAATCCGAGCTTCCAGGGGACAAAAATCGATTTCATCGCCGGCTGGCGCTTGTCCTCGTCCGGTGTTTTGGTAGTTCAGCGTCTTCTGGCGTTCTTTTTGAACAAAACTACTACTAGAGCCCGCGCAACGCGCCCAGCGCACGATGGCTCTTTCGGCTGTAGTTGCGGTCGCGTGTAGTTCCTCCCCGTGATTTTGGCTGTCGACGTCCGGAGCTTCTTGTGCTACTTCGCAATGCTTCTTCATCGGATCAGAAAATCCGACAAATCGCTCGAGCCGGTATCCCTCGCAACATGCGGACAGGAGGTGGTTCTGTTCATCTGAGAAAAATTTCTCCAGAACCGGCTTCTGCACGTCCCCCACCTGGTCAAAAAAACACGGCCCGCCGTAGATAGTACTGGTTTCGCTTTCGACCTTTTGGTTTTGGTTTTTTTCGTCGTCCGCACCTTCTGCGGAAGTTGTACCAGAATTAGCCGAAAACTCCTCGCTGTCACAGTAGCAACATCTGTCCTCTTCGCGGAACGTCCAGCTGCTGCTTGGGAACACCGCTTCCTCACAGTACGCCCGACAGCGCTCCGCCGCGGCCGGGCCGGTGTCCGGACCACAGAAACCCCCAACGTAATTGTTCTTTGGGCTGAAACTGTTTGACAGTTCAATATTTTGATCTTCAGGTGATCTTGCTGGGCTAGCATTCGAACTGGTGCATGTTCTCGCTTTTCTTGTTCTCCCCTGTCTGTTGCTTCCCGTTTCCGAAGAGCTAGCAGGGCCGGCAGGATTCGAATTATCGACAGAATTTTCAACATCGCCTCTCAGGTTCAGTTTTACAACAGCTTCCCAAACTGCAAAATTGTCGAAACACTCCTTCAAGGACATTCTGTCGGTTGGAGCGTTTGCAGCATCATCTTCCTCTTCGTCCCCAGACCTGGCAACTCTTGTCGTAAAGGAAGAGCTCGTTGTTCGCGACAAAGCGCCCCGACGAGCACCAGCTGTGGTCTTTATTGCATGATCATCGCGCCGTTTAAAAGCTTCATCTTCTGCTACCACTTCTTCTAACCGCGGTAAAGTTGAAGAAGTACTTTTAGAACGTTTGTCTTTCCGTTTCTCGTCGCGGCTGCTTTTGGTTCTTTTCCTTACCGTGCTGTCGTGTAGAAAGCGCCTGGTATGCTGTAGAAAGCTGGTCCGCCGACCGGGCTGCCCATAATTCCCGTGGTTCGTACGCCGGTTGTCCGTCTTTTTTTGCCCGTTATTCGCAAAAGAACTGTCCTGCTCCAGCGGTTTGTTCGGCTTCTTCAGCGAAAAAAACTTCTCATCGTTCGGGCTTTTGTTACCTGCAGCTCGCGCAAACGTCGTGAACATCTTCGGAGACACATCGCTACTAGATTCCGTGTCCTTAAGCAACATCAGAGCGGAAAACAAAGTCGAGAGCGCTAAGTACAGCCCGCTCAGGCGAAGAAGCGGAAAAGAATGACTTTTATGAACCCGCGTCATGATACGACAGCCTCCGAAGCAGACAAGGAATCAAAATATAATGAAAAGAACCTGTGCACCAAATAAACTAATGACGGAGTACTATGTCTTGGTGTGCTACGCCGTCTGGCTTTCGCCTTTCATATGAAGATCGCGCCGGGAGGGCGATATTGGTAACCAAATGCGTGCGCGAAAATCTAACCAGCGCGAAAGCCAAACCAGCCGCGCGGCGAAAGCGCGGCCCTGCGGGCCGCGCTTTCGCCGCGCGGCTGCCACCACCATTTCTTTTAATTAGAATCCCACTTCTTCTTCTTGAGCCGCGGGCCGCAGTTTGCGGTCGCGGCCCTAAAGGGCCGCGAGCACAAAAGGGCCGCGGACAACTACTGTCGCCCGCGACGGCCCGCAGGCTCCTGCGATAAGCATCGAAGGCGAAATCCGGTCTGCTATTTCGCAGCGGGGCATCGTTTCTAGCCCCCTGCATGACAAACTGGCCTCCTGGCCAAGAAGGTATGTGGCCA